TGGAGTACAGTGGCATGATCATGGTTTACCACACAGCCTCCAACTCCTGGGGGCTCAGGTGATCCTTCCACCTCAGCCTCTTGAGTAGTTGGGACTACAGGTATGCACCACGATGCTTGGCTAATTTTTTAAAAAATTGTTTGTAGCAACAAGGTTTTACTATGTTGCCTAGGCTGGTCTTGAACTGGGTTCAAGTAATCCTCCTGCCTTTGCCTCCCAAAGTGCTGGGATTACAAGTGTGATCCACCACGCCCAGTCAGATAAATTACCTTTTGTTGATATAATTGAGTACAGGAGCATATGACAAGACAAAACGAAAGAATTCTCACTGAAATTTCTTCTTTAATATAAAATTCAAGTGAGAAAATACAAATTCATCACCAACAGAGGACAGTAACAAACACAGAAAATAAGTACAAAAGATGATTGAGCTTTATAGTCACGACCTTCCTCTTGAATTCTAGTCTATTAGAATTAAGCAGTATACCTGCAAGGTTAACAGCAACAGCAAGTAAGAATATGCAAGCCAGGCTCGGTGGCTCAGCCTGTAATCCCGTGCCTTTGGGAGGCTGAGGTGAGTGGATTGCCTGAGCCCGCGGGTTCAAGACCCGCCTGGGCGGCGAGACCTCATCTCTACAATAAATCAAAAAAGCAGCTGGGCATGGTAGCGCATGCCTGTAATTCCGGCTACTTGGAAGGCTGAGGTAGAAGGATCGCCGGAGCCCAGGAGGTCGAGGCCGCGGTGGCCGGGAGCGGCCACTGCACTCCAGTCTGGGCAACAGAGTGAGACTCCAACTCAAAAAAAATAAAAAGAATATGCAAACATACCTACAAGAAGTCGAATTATAATCTGAGCAAAAAAAAAAAAAAAAAAAAATAGACTAAAATGGTAGTGTTGGCCGAGCAAGCTGGCTCATGCCTATGATCCCAGCACTTTGGGAGGCTGAGGTGAGAAGATTGCCTAAGTCCACGGGTTCAAGAACAGCCTGGGCAATAAATCAAAAAATTAGCCAGCTGTAGTGGTACGTGCCTGTAGTTTCAGCTACTTGGAAAGCTGAGCCGAAAGATCACCTGAGCCCAGCAGGTCGAGGCTGTAGTGGCCCTGAGCGTGCCACTGCACTCCAGCCTGGGCAACAGAATGAGAATACAACTTAAAAAAACAAAAAGGCCGTGTTTAGGAAGCAGAGTATTGTGTAGGATGTCATCTCCCTAAATAAACACATCACTTCCAATTCATTGATTTCATTGCTCCTTAAGGACTACCCAAAAATAAAATCTAGAGCAAGTAACTAGCCAGTTTCACATACCTTCAAGCAAGTTAAAAGCTTGCCCTTTTATGATTAAGAGGCAGAGCCAGAAAGGAGAGGGTCAATGTCCCAGTCGAGTAGGGTAGAAGGGCTCCATTCTAAGCAGATAACAGGAACCAGTACAAATGCCAGGAATCAGTACATATCACCTGGGTACACAGCAAAGCTACAGGGAAAAGCTGCAGCTCAGGGAGCACCTAAACCCAAAATATATCAACAGGCAGCTGGCAATAGGGAGGCAGTTAACACATGTGCCCACTGTATCCCCGGCTGGCAGTTACACATCTCTTTCCTTCCTTCCTTTCTCCTTATCCTGCTGTCACTCTTCATTTTCACTTCCTTCACAGACCATGACATCTTTAGATGATTGAAAGGTATAAACTCTGCTGTCATCTATATATAAAAATGTATACCATGTCTAAGATCAGGACTTAAAGGTTAGTAGGATTAAAGGGGAAAAGGTTGTTTACTTTTTCTTGCCTCCTCCAATAGACCATATTGGGTACCCCCTTATTATGATCAAATTGGACTATTCGCCTTTCCTGAATCTGCTTTTTTTCTGCCCCACCTCTGCTATTTTCTTAGCCTAGAATGCCTTATATGGCAGCCCCTAATCTCAGTCTAAAATATTCTACACTTTCTTCAAGAGCAGAAAAAATTGTTTCTCCAAGAAGCCTGTCAGAAAGAACAAATACCTCTTCTTCTGCCTACTTACAACTATTTTCTGCTTACAAATTTACAAATACTTGCATCATACTTATTTTTTATTTTTATATTTGTGAATCAGAGTCTCACTCTGTCACCCAGGCTGGAGTGCAGTGGCACACTCATGGCCATCACAGCCTCGACCTGGTGGGCTCAGGTGATCCTTCCACTTCAGCCTTCCAAGTAGCTGGAACTATAGGCACACGCCACCATGCCCAATTAATTTTTTTGATTTGTTGTAGAGATGAGGTTCACCATGTTGCCTGGGCTGGTCTCAAACCTGTGGACTTAGGCAATCCTCTCACCTCCACCTCCCAAAGTGCTGGAATTACAGGCGTAAGCCACCACACCTAGCTTCATCAAAGACTTTCTGCTTAAAATCAGGTGTACTTTTCATGTTTCCATAAGAATTAGACATTTAACTCAGTGTTGTTTATAAAGTAAATGAGGATTGCAACTAGATGTCATCCTAATCCTTGGTTAGGTTTCGGCTTTAAGTCAAACAATCAAAAGCTTATCCTTTGGTTCCTTGGACCAATCAGCTATGCAGAGGCTGTGCTGCCAAGCACACGCAAATCTTCTGTTGCCTGCTCCCAATACCAATCCAGCTCTACAACCCAGAACTACTCAGAAAACTTAAGTATCCTGGATATTACTAAGCAATGTATGTAAAAGAAAATAAAGGAGAGAGTTTTCAGGCAATTTCTTCTCTGTGTAGCCTGCAATTTTATCTTGTAACAAAAGAATCAAGATATGGTCCATCTAGGGAGGAGAAGCAGCCCCCAGTGTTTGGAAATCCTAAGAAGTAAGAACAGCATGTATCCCTTATCCTCATTCCCAAAGGCCTACCAAGCACTTCAAAAACCTAGATAAGAGCCAGGCACATGTCTATAATCCCAGTACTTTGGGAAGCTGAAGCGATAAGGCTTGCCTGAGTTTGAGATCAGCTGGGGCAACATGGCATCTCTATGATAAACCAAAAAATTAGCTGGGCTGGTTGGCACGTGCCTGTTGTCCCAGCTTCTTGGGAGGCTGAGGCAGAAGGATCACCTGAGTCCAGCAGGTCAAGGTTGCAGTTGCCATGACTGTGCCACTGAACTCCAGCCTGGGTGACAAAGTGAGACTCCGACTCAAGACAAACAAAAAAATAGAAAAGATATCAAATTTTCTAGGATACTTTCTCTGATTGCTCAAAGAGCAAGATTTGAAAGGAATAGGAGGCATTCACTAGTGGTTTATGGTATCAATTAAAATTACTTAGGGCCAGGCTCGGTGGCTCAGCCTGTAATCCCTGCACTTTGGGAGGCCGAGGCGAGTAGACTGCCTGAGCCTGTGGGTTCAAGACCAGCCTGGGCAACTTGGCAAGACCTCATCTTTACAATTAAAAAAAAAAATTACTTAGAATGTCTAGGATCACACCTGAGATATTTATTCCTTATATTTTCATGTCACAATCTATTTACTGTCTGAATTACTTGTATTGATTTGCTTTTTTTTCTGGATTCAAATCTTATTGGCAAAAGCAGTTTAAAAAAAAAAAAAGCTGGGCAGAGTGGCTTCACACCTATAATTCCAGCACTTTGAGAGGCTGAAGCAACAAGACTGCCTGAGTCCAGGAGTTCAAGACCAACCTGGGCAATTTGGCAAGACCGCATATCTACAATAAATTAAAAAATTAGTCGGGCATGGTAGCGCATGCCTGTAGGTTGAGATGAAAGGATAGCCTGGGCCCAGCAGGTCGAGGCTGCAGTAGCTGTAAGAGTGCCACTGCACTCCAGTCTGGGCAACAGTGAAACTCCGACTCAAAAAAAAATAAAAATAAAAATAAACCAGAACTGCCCTTTTAAATCATAAGCAGTTTTGAAGTAAATAGCACATGCAAGGGACAGCAGAATAAATATCAACATTTACTCTATCAAAGTGTGACGTTAGGCTGTTTGGATTCCCTGAGTCTGTTCCTTAATCTTTAAAATGGGTGTCTACCATAAAATATTTTTTCAAGAAACAAATGAAATAAAATGTAAAGCATCTAGTACAGTTCCTAACACACACGAGGCCTACAAAAGTCAGTCATTATTTTTACAGCCTAGTTCTAGTGTATTTTGACACTAGATTCAACCAGAGTTGTCCAATACAGTGGTCCTTAGCCACACGTGACTACTGACCACTTGAAATGTAGCTGTTCTTTGCAAGTAGTTTGGATCCTTAACCCAGAGCCTGCTGAAGATTATTGCGCATACTAGTCTTGAACTCCAAGCCTCAAGCTGTCCTCCCATCATAGCCTCCCAAAAGTACTGGGATTTACAGGCGTGAGCCACAGAACCCAGTATCTCATTTGGTTTTAATAAATTTGTACAAACCAAAAAAAAATACACAGCGGATTCCAAAGACTTAGTGAAAGAAATACTATAAAATCTTAGTATTTGGTATGTTGATTACATGTGACGTGATAACACTTTAGATATATTAGACTAAATAAAATATAATTAATGACACCACTTAATGTTTGACTCTCATACGTTTCTATTAGGCAGTCTATAGTTTGATTTCAAGCTGATATGCTCTCTTAACCATAGAGCGGACTGCTTGACAGCAGACGGTGGCTCACTTTAACGCTGCCAATTTGCACAACCTGGGAAAGCTAACGGGCTAACCCTCTTAACTGTAAAAAGCCCAGAACCCACAGATGTGTCCAGGAAACTCGACTGTGACCAACACATTCAGAAGAAGAGATGTCTTGCGGAAAAAAACCCAGAGGCCTCACCCGCGGGTGTCAGTCAGCTCTGCTGGGGGCTGAGAGCCTCAGCAAAAAGAGGTAAAGTGAGAAGAGGCGACGGAACGAGCTCCCCAGATCTGAAGGAGCACAATGTGGAGCCCACGGAGCAGAGGTCTGAGGAGGAAGGCCTTTTCCGCTAGGGGGAAGGCGGGCGGCGGGGGCGAGTCGGGGCGGCTGTGCTCCGCGGCGGAGACTACAGGGAGCAGCAGTACCTTCAGAATCCCCCTCATCTTCGCCAGAAAGGGGCGGAACTCCTCGGGCGGCACCTCCGGATAGAGTTGGCTCCGCAGCAGCTCCTCCGTGATGCCCGGGTGCCGGAAGAAATTGTCCTGGGCCAGACCGCTCAGCAGCCCGCTCAGGGGCTTGCAGCCCTCAAGCTCACCCGCCATGGTCTGCGAAGGCCCCGCCCCCCAACCGCTGAGCGCTGCCCCACCACGGCGGCCGAGTTGGGCCTAAATAGCCCGGGCAAAGGCACAACGGGGAACGTAGGGGTAAGGTTCCTCTGGGACTCGGAGTTAACAGCTTCCAGCTTTGCTCTGCAAAGCCCAGTCCTTTAGAATTCCTCCACAGAAACATCCTTTCGGTTCCAGTAGGATCACTTTGCTTCCTCTGATTTCCTTTATCCCTCCAGAGTCTACTCAAAAGGAAGATCTTTTGGTGGGGATCACTTGAGATGGAGTAGCATCCTGTAAACTTGGCAGTTTAACTTTTGGATGGCTGTATCTCATTCCAGGCCTTGACGACCCATTAAGTGAATAAAGTCTACCATTCAAGCCGGGCGCAGTGGCTCACGCCTGTAATCCTAGCACTTTGGGAGGCAGAGGCGAGAGGATTGCCTGAGCCCAGGGATTTGAGATCAGCTTGGGCAATTTGGCGAGACCTTGTCTCTACAATAAATCAAAAAATTAGCTGGGCTTGGCGGTGCTCGCCTGTGGTTCCAACTACTTGGAAGGCTGAGGTAGGTGGAAAGATAGTCTGAGTCCACCAGGTCAAGGCTGTGGTGGCCATGAGCGTGCTATTACACCCCAGCCTGGGTGACAGAGTGAGACTTCGACTCAAAAAAAAAAAGAAAAAATCATCCTCTGGTTGGGATTTGTAAAAAATAAATAAGTAAAATCAGTGTAAGACCTAACTGTAGTTTAGCATATAAGTAAAAGTAAAGTAATTTATAATACAATATGAGTTTCGATGTGTGTTTGACGACAGCTCTACTAGTTGACTAGAAGACATATGAAATGGCCAGATGCCTGCAACTTTATGGAGAATCACCTGTAACTTCTACAAATGCAAACTGATTCAGGTGTGCAGTATTGGTAAGTAAACATAAAGCAGTTGCTACTGATAATATGATGTTCAGAAATATGAACAATGGTTGGTAAAAATTACAACAAAAAAACATTTTTCCTCCACAGTCACTGCAAACCTGGAATGTCTGTATAATACTCATGCTAATCTAAAAATACATCATATTTATATGTAAAATGGAGTTCGATTTTAGGCTCAGATAATAACAAGCAGGTAGGTTTTTCACCTACACAAATGTACCCTGCATGGCAAGATAACTTATATCCCTGGCCTCTGTCCAACCTGTCCCATTCCTACCCCTCCTTGAAAGTGACAATTGAAATGCCCCTTTCAAGGCAGTGCGGTATAATTGAGAATCACTGATCGAGCCTGCTTTAATGTTTATTCAGTAAAGAGGTATTCTTTATAACACAAAAAATATAAGATACTTCCTTTCCTAAAATAATTAATTTTCTAAAAGGCAAATTCAGACTTGCTTTCATGACTCCAAGAAAACCATACCTAGAGACAAACTATACATTGTGCTAAGTGTGCCTATAGAAGTTACAGAGAACAACTGACAGAAAAGTTTAAAAATGGTGGAAAATATAAAGAAACAGCACTATTAAACACGTAACTTCCAAAGTACCCACCAGAAATGCTGTACCCATTTATTTCTATGAAACCTTACTAACACAGACTGGTGTAGCCAGCATAGTGTCTCACACCTGCAATCCCAGCACTTTGGGAGAGCAAGGCAGGAGGATCACTTGAGCCCAAGAGTTCAAGACCAGCCTGGGCGACAGACTGTGGCCCCCATGTCTACAAAACAAAATTTTTTTTTTTGAGTCAGGCTCTCACTCTGTCACCCAGACTGGAATGCAGTGGTAAAATCATGGCTCAGCTCAGGCGATCCTTCTGTCTTAGCCTCCCAAGTAGCTGGGACTACAGGCCTGTGCCACCACACCAACTAATTTTTTAATTTTTTGTAGAGACAAGATCTCACTATGTTGCCCAGGCTGGTCTCTAATTCCTGAGAATAAGCAATCCTCCTACCTTGGCCTCCCAAAGTGCTGGGATTACAGGTATGAGCCACCCTGTGGGACTAAAACATTTTTTCTTTTTTTTTCTTCTGAGTCGGAGTTTCACTCAGGCTGCACTGGAGTGGCACACTCACAGCAACTGCAGCCTCTACCTGCTGGGCTCAGGCGACCTTCCGCCTTAGCCTTCCAAGTAGCTGGAATCACAGGTGTGTGCCACCATGCCTGGCTGATTTTTTGATTTATTATAAAGACGTGATCTTGCCAAGTTGCGCAGCCTAGTCTCGAACCCCTAGTCTCAGGCAATCTTATTGCCTCTGCCTCCCACAGTGTTGGGATTACAGGCGTGAGCCACTGTGCCCAGCTAAAAAAAATTTTTCAAAAAGAGAAAACTGGGCTGGGCTCGGTGGCTCAGCCTGTAATCCCATGCCTTTGGGAGGCTGAGGTGAGTGGATTTCCTGAGCCCGCGGGTTCGAGACCCGTCTGGGCAGTGAGACCTCATCTCTACAATAAATTAAGAAATCAGCCGGGCGTAGTAGCGCATGCCTGTAATTCCGGCTACTTGGAAGGCTGAGGCGGAAGGATCGCCGGAGCCCAGCAGGTCGAGGCTGCGGTGGCCGGAAGCGGCCACTGCACTCCAGTCTGGGCGACTGAATGAGACTCCAACTCAAAAAAAAAAAAAAAGAAAAAGAAAACTATATTTTGACTTTCATTTCTTAAGTTTTAAGAGTGAATACTTTTTATGTATATTTATTAACTACTTATATTGCTTCCTACTTCTTTGTCAATTTTATTTTTTTTAGTCTCTTTATTTTTTATTTATTTATTTTTTTGAGTTGGAGTCTCACTCTGTCGCCCAGACTGGAGTGCAGTGGCCGCTCCCGGCCACGGCAGCCTCAGCCTGCTGGGCGATCCTTCCGCCTCAGCCTTCCGAGTAGCCGGAATTACAGGCGCGCACTATCACGCCTGGCTGATATTTTGATTTATTGTAGAGATGAGGTCTTGCTGCCCAGGCGGGTCTCGAACCCCCGGACTCAGGCAATCCACTCACCTCAGCCTCCCAAAGGCACGGGATTACAGGCTGAGCCACCGAGCCCGGCTGTCAATTTTCAACAGGGGTTTCTATCATTTCATTAATTTCTTTCTTTCTTTCTTTTTTTTAAGTTGGAGTCTCACTCAGTCGCCCAGGCTGGATTGCAGTGGCAAATTCAAATGGCAACTGCAGCCTCTACTTGCTGGACTAGACTCAAAACTGTCCTTCTGACCTCAGCCTTCCAAGTAGTTGGAAACACAGGCATGTGCCACCACACTCAGCTAATTTTTTGATTTATTGTAGAGACAAGGTCTCACCAAGTTTCCCAGGCTGGTCTTGAATCCCTGAACTCGGACAATCCTGTCACCTCAGCCTCCCAAAATGCTGGAAAAACAGATATAAGCCACCGTGCTCAGCCTTATTCTTATTTTAGATTCAGGGGGTACACATGCATATTCATTTCATGGACATTTTGTGTAGTGGTAGGGATGGGTCTTAGGTGGCCTATTCCCCAACTTCAGTGATTTCTAAGAGCTCTTCATACATTAAAAATAATAGGCCAGGTGCAGTGACTTACACCTGTAATCTTAGCACTTTGGGAGGCTGAGACGAGAGGATTGCCTGAGACCAGGGCTCAAGACCAGCCTGGGCAACCTGGAGAGAACTCATCTCTACAATAAATCAAAAAATTAGCTAGGTGTGGTGGCACGCACCTGCAGTTTCAGCTACTTGGAAGGCTGAGGCAGAAGGATCACCTAAACCCAGCAGGTAGAGGTTGCTGTGGCCATGAGCATGCCACTGCAGTGCAGCCTATGCGACAGAGTGAGACTCCAACTCAAAATAAAATAAAATAAAATAGTGGTACTTGTTACCTAAATAAAAATATCTTCCTTAAGTTTATATAGTCGAATTTATCAACCTAGAAAAAGTCTGGAAGGTTATTCACCAACATGAATGTAGTGTCAGTAATTGAAAATTGCTTTTATTTGCTTACCTTATTTTTCTAAATGCTACAGTGTACATGAAATCCTGTTGTAATAAAAAGTTATTTAATGAAAATATTAAATAAGTAATCTTAAAATAAAAGTCTTTTTTTAAAAATTGGAGTCTCACTCTGTCGCCCAGGCTGGAATGCAGTGGCACGCTCCCGGCTACCGCAGCCTCAACCTGCTGGACTCCCGCGATCCTTCCACCTTAGCCTTCCAAGTAGCCAGAACTACAGACGCATGTTACCACGCCTGGCTAATTTTTGATTTATTGTAGAGATGAGGTCTCGCCAAGTTGCCCGGGCAGGTCTTGAACCCGCAGGCTCAGGAAATCCACTCACCTTGGCCTCCCAAAGTGCTGGGATTACAGGCTGAGCCACCGAGCCCGACCTTACACCAATTTATTTAAAGTAATTTTTACACAACACAGGAACCGTCATAAATAAATAAAGACCCAAAGAAGCAGTTTGCACCATATGATTATGTTAAGTGGGACAAAGAGAGGGGGGAACCCCCCAAAACCCGGAATTACTCATTTTGGAGGGGGAGGGCGTCCCCATCATAGCACAGGCTTCTCCTGCTAGATAAATGTTTTAGGAACCCATCAGCATCAGTGTACCTGCTAGCATTGTTGTGAGATGCTGCATTTGGCTTCAGTGAATTTTTTTTTTTTTTTAGAGATTCTTAAAACACGTTTGCCCATTTCATGATGGGTGATTTAGAAGCGCACCTGCCCACACTGTACTGAGTATTCAGCAGTTTTTGACCAAAAATAGTATGACCCCCATTCCCCACCCTCCATACTCACCTGGTCTCCCTAAGTAACATTTTTTGTTTGTTTCTGGGGTGGAGGGAAGTTCTCAAAGAGAAATGTTTTGCTGATACAAAGAGGTGAAACAAAAAATGGCAGAAGCACTAAAAGGAATCAAAATTGATGAGTTCAAAAACTGTTCTGAGCAGTGGAAAAAGTGTTGTGATAGGTGTATTGCATCAGACAGAGAGTACTTTGAAGGTGACTGAAGTTTCAACATGTATGAATAAATACACAATTTGTTATAAATTAATTCCTTGTACTGTGAAAATATGACAAGACAAAGGGGCTTGGGCTAGGGTAGTTAATCATGAAGAAGTGACTAAGGGGCCAGGTGCAGTGGCTCAGTCTAAAATCCCAGCACTTTGGGAGGCTGAGGCGAGAGGATTGCCTGAGCCCCGGGGGCTCGAGACTAGCCTGGACAACATGGTGAGACCTCATCTCTACAATAAATCACACAAAAAAAACTAGTTTGGTGTGGTGGCATGCGTTTGTAGTTCCAGCTACTTGGGAGGCTGAGGTGGAAGGATTGCCTAAGCCCAGCAGGTCAAGGCTGCCCTGGCTGTGAGCATGCCACTGCACTCCAACCTGGGTGACAAGGGTGAGATTCCAATTCAAAAAAACAAAAACAAAAAGTGACCAGGAAGATAAAGGTAAATTTAACAAGGACGATTTGTACAGATTTCTCTTTTTTTTTTCTTTTTGAGTTGGAGTCTCACTCTGTCGCCCAGACTGGAGTG